TATTTTAGATAGTCATAAAATCAAATAAAATGCCTGGTTCCCATCAAATGACAAAAAAAGACATCCTTGGAAAAAGAATGATTCTAAAACATTGTCCATGTACTAAAGGAATAAAAGGACACCAACTTGTAAATAGCTGGTGACCATAGTGTTGTACTTTATGTATTTTAGATAGTCATAAAATCAAATAAAATGCCTGGTTCCCATCAAATGACAAAAAAAGACATCCTTGGAAAAAGAATGATTCGAAAACATCAAGCATTTACCAGGATAGCATATGTTAAGTGCACTTTATTTTTTCATTATTCATTTAAAAATAGATGTTTTAAAATAAGGAAAACACTGACATAATTTCTGAATATTCTGATGTGTTGCTTATCGCAATTTAACAGTATGAGCTTTTTGTGTTTTAATATCTTATTTACATTTCCTATGAAAGTCAAACATCTTAAAACCACCATTGATATTTTGTTCTGGAGATGAAAACTTCTTATACACAAGCAAACTTATCTTGTCTATATTAGCAAGTAAGACATGCAGCTATATTTTTTCTGATTAGAAACTGGGTGAAATGTGAAAGAAGTGAATGACATCAAAATATTAAAACTGCATGATGACAAGCAAAGGCTATACAACAAGTTTTAGATAAGCCATGTTTCAATTCACCTTCTGCGTTAAACTGCAAGTTAAAAGCAAATAAACTATTGTATGTGATAATTTTGGGATGTCTCAGATATACTCAAAAATGAAAGAAAAGTTACATACTGATTAGGGTAATATTAAATAACTGTGCCTTTAAAATTATTCACATATAGGTAGGATCAGGGATTTTAGGAACTATATATAGCCTTATGGTATTCGTCTATATACATTTTATACTAGAAATAAAAATTTAGGCATTTAAGTTTCGATTCTCTCCTTCCTGTCTGAAGTGTTAAAAATATTCTTTCATGTAATGAAAGAGAAAAAAAATATATAACTTCCATGTTTTCTGTATATCCTATTGCTATAAACTACTTCTGGTGCTGTCTTCATTGAGGCTTGTCTCAGGAAAATCAATGCCAGATTAGCAAAAGCAAGCTCTGACATTGAGAGCATATCAAATAATTACAAGTGGGGCGAAGAATCACACATATTCAGTCATAATCAGGGGTGGATTCAAGTTTTGTGAGGCTTGAACCTTATACAATTTGGGATACCTTCTTTAAGGGAAAGGATATATGATCACATATGCAAAGTTGTTAGGGCCCTCCCATGGCCTTTAAATGGTCCATGAAAATAAGGGGCCCTAAAGGTTAAACTTCAGGATAAAGTCACCCGTGGTCATACCTTTAACCTTAATTTGTGGTAATCTGTAATATCCCACATGCCCTTCCTGCCTACAGTGGTGGTTATTCCACAGAGTGTCATATTCAGTTTGGATCTGTGTCATGTAAAACCACTTTTCTTTTGAAAACTTAAAGTCAAAGTAACTGTTGGTTCAAAAATACATACACATTGAAAAAATTTAGCATGATGGCATTTACTATTTGTGTATTTACACCACACATTTTCATTTGAGCTCTTTTTTTAAAAAAAAAAGAAATTCATGATTGATGCTTAGATATTCTTATGACTTTAGGGACAAGACAATGTCTTTTTAGATACTGACATAAGAATCTACTAAATAACACAATAGAAATATAATTCTTCTGTCATAGGAAATTCATCTATGCATGAGAAAATTTAGTAAAGATTATAGCTACTATGAAAAAAATAACAAAATTGGTTTTTAATATTTTCAAGGATTAAAAATAGGAATAATGGGTTTGGGTAAGAAAATTATTAATTATCCAAACTGAAATCACTTGATTGTTAGGTTTCTATTTTGCCTGCATAAAGTAATAACATTTACTAATGCAGGTCTCATTTTCACTTGCTGTTCACATTGCAATGAGAATAAGATTAATGCAGATGGGCATCTATTTTCTTTGGATTCCTAAACTCTCTTCTAAATATGATTTTTGAGATGAACTTTTAAGAATCAACTAACTCAAAACCATAGGAAAACGTTAGAGGATTGTATCCTATTTTCATACTATTTATGTCCTATGAAATATCTATTGGTGATAATTTATAGCAGCCATAGAGAAAGGTACTCCTTAACTTTGTGTCTCATAGTAGCATCACTCATTGGGTGGAAAAAAGTACCTATCCTTATAACTTGAAATGGCATTCCTAAGCTACATCATGGGGACATGCAACATTTAATGGATTATTATTAGTATAGTAAGAAACATTTGGGTAAAGTTTGCAAAAGGAAAAATTGTGATGTACAAGCAGCAGAATTCTCTTGCAGTTTTATTACATTTCTGAATATATTGTATGTTTTCAAATTCGCATCACATGATTTTCATTTGAAATATCTTGTTGAAGAGCTTTAAAGCAACATTTTGAGCTCATTATATAATTTCAAGCATGCTGCATGAGGAATTTGTTAATGCCAATACTACAACCAGATTTCTGTA